AGTGCCACCTGCTGGAAACTGGGTCCAGCGTCCCATGAACATTGTGAATAAAGCACCAACCGGGCAGCATAATCACTACCTTACCCTTCCCGAACCACATAAACAAACGAACTACGGGCTGCGCTCCCGTGCCCTCACGGTAAGTCAATAAGTGGAACAAAACTCTCTCTCTCTCTCTCTCTCTCTCTCTCTCTTGTGCGCGCTCTTAGTCTCATTGCTTTGGGTACCTTAGGGTTGCGTTCCCTGCCCCCACTCTGTAGACAACATACTTCACCAGGCCCTAACTCTGAACTTTCGGGCTGTTAGTAGGATTTCCGAAGACCACAGGGCCCTTCCTCTCTCCTCCTAGAACTTGCTTGTCGACTTGAAAAGGGGCTTTGCGGACCCCTCAGGGGCGAAGTCCAACTTATCCCGATTGTCCACTGCCGACCGTAGATCTCGAAGATCAACGGTTCAGAAATGAAGAATCTGATTAAGCGGGATCTACCGGTAGTCACTCACCCGGAGGCGCCCGCGACATACTACCAGCCGCGGACGACCAGGCGGATGGCTGACGTTTGAGGGTGCTTCAGTAAACGGATTCGGTCGCTAAGGCGTTGCCGCGTCTCTTATCGAACCTCTCGAATTTCCGGTACGGTAGGCGGGGGAGGGGATACTACGGAGCAAAAAAATTGTGGGTGTGGTGCCGTTGGGAGGGCAGGCGGGTTGTGGGCAGCGAAGAGAGAGGTGATGTGGGAAGAGTCGTTGGGAGCATTCCACGGGGGAGGAGGAAGATGGCGTGGGGGGAAGGTGTTGGTGGAGGAGCACGAGGAGGAGGAGGAGGAGGAAGGGGAGGAGAAAAACATAGACGAGTAACACCAGTGGCAGCAGCAGCAGACCATGAAAGTAATCAGTAGGAGGAGAAGGAGGAGGAGGAGGAGGAGGAGGAGAGGGGGGGGAGAAGGTGGGGAAGAATAGGAAATGATGATGTCAGGACTGGATGTGGATGTGGAGGTGGTTGTGGTTGTGGTTTGGGAACGGACGGAAGGCGCTTGGTCCCATAGGCCACGGCGTTGGGGGCGATGAGAGGAGAGGTAGAGGTGGTCTTGCAGACTCACCCAGCACAATACAGTATGTCCTCGATCTGCAGAGAAGGGAGAAGTGGGAAGGAGAGAGTAATCGTAGCTGGGAGAGACGTGGAAAAGAGCACGTGACACATGGACAAGAACATGTATGAATAGCGCGAACAGCAAGGAGCATTTGAGAACAGCAACTGCGTTTGAGAGCATACTCACACGTGGACTTTGGTGGATGTATCTGACCGCTGTTATGGCCAGTTTTGGACGTATCTGACCGGAACTACGTCCAGAGGTCAGGGAAAAAGTGCTAATTTGATTACAGTCTGAGGGAGTATGGATAAGTAGGTGATCAAGGGTGTAGATTGGGCGAAAAGCGGCAGGAGGGGAACGACCGGTCGCAGCTGCAAGTGAAGGACCTTGGGTAGCCGCCAAGGAAACAGAAGTGGAAGCAGAGGCAACGCCAGAGGGGGGAGAGGGGGAAGGAAGAGGAAGGGTAGGAGGAGGAAGGGGAGGAGGAAGGGGAGGAGGAGGAGGAGGAGGAGGAGGAAGAGGTCGATTCGGAAGGAATAACACACAGGCGCAGTGGCAGAGGCGCAACAGAGCGGAAGGAGGAGGTGTCAGACTGGGAGAAAGAGGAGGAGGTGCCAGACTGGGAGAAAGAGGAGGAGGAAAGCAGGGAAGCAGCCGCAGCAGCAACAGGAGGAGAAGCAGGGAGAAAAAGGAGGAGAGGTGGGAGAGGGAGTAGTCGTAGTAGTAGGAGGAGGCGGTGAAGGGCGAGGAGGAGGGATTGCACGAGCAGCAGATAGTTAAGCTGCAGCAGAGGGAGAGGAGCAGCAAGGAGGAGAGGGCACAACAGGAGGAGGAGAGGGAGCAAGAGGAGGAGGAGGAGAGGAAGCAGGGGTAGGAGCAGGAGGAAAAGCGGAGAGAGAGAGAGAGAGAGAGAGAGAGAGAGAGAGAGAGAGAGAGAGAGAGAGAGAGAGAGAGAGAGAGAGAGAGGAGGCGAAAATGGGGGATCCTGTGAAGAAGCTAGAGTATTTGTCATTGGTATCGAAGATATGCAGAGAGTTGGAAACCCATGTGGGATTTGCAGATAAGTCCTTGGCAGAATTCGTTATTGATTTGGCGGCGAAGAGTGAGTCGGTAGAGAGTCTGTCGAGCTCTTTGGCGGCTAATGGTGCAGAATGGCCCGAGTACTTTTGCAAAACGTTGTTGACGATCGTTCAAGCAGTTCGTCCGCCGACGAAAGGTGGAGGGGAGAAAGGGGGAGGAGGAGGTAAAGGGGGATCGAAAAACGCGTTTCCAGGACTGGCGGTGCCGAATAACAGAGAGAGGATCAAGGAGATGGAGAGAGCGCTAGACAGAGGCACAGGGGGAGGCGCCGGAAGGGCGGAGAATGGCGGCGGCGGCGGCGGCGCGGCGGCGGGGGTTCTCTCGCCGAAGGCGGGTGGAGGAGCTGCTGCTGGGAGTGGAGAGAAAGGGGACGTCAGGGGAGAGAGGGCGGGAGCGGCGGCGGCTGCGGGGGAGAGGTCGTCGTCGAGATCCTCCGGACGATGGGACCAGGACTACAAAGAGGTCCGCGATCGGGATCGCGATCGCGGGAACAGCAGCAGCAGGGATTATCGCGATCGCGATCGGGATCGAGACCGTGATCGGGACCGTGAGCGCGATCGCGATCGTGATCGCGATAGGGATAGGAGAAGAGGAGGAGGAGGAGGAGGAGGAGGGTGGGACAGGGAAGACCGGAGGAGTCGCTCGCCGCCTCCACATGCTCATCATCATCATCATAATCATAATCAATCGTGGTCATCATCGCTGCCACCACCTCCGCCCCTTCCGATGCCGCCGCCGCCGCCGCCGCCGCCGCCATCGTCGTCTTCCTCGCAGCCCACCGAGCCTGAGCTGTTCAGCGTTTATCGGGGTAGGGTTACCCGCATTATGGATTTTGGCTGTTTCGTTCAGCTGGAGGGGTTTAGGGACAGAAAGGAGGGCCTTGTCCACGTGTCACAGATCGCCTCTCGGCGGGTAATCAATGCGAAAGACGCGGTCGAGAGAGACCAAGGGGTATGGGTGAAGGTGGTATCCTTAGCCGGCGCGAAGATGTCTTTGAGTATGGTGAATGTGGACCAAAGGACGGGTGAAGACTTGTTACCGTTGAAGAAACCCCCCTCAGCAGCCGGCGGCATGTCCTCCTCCGCCGCCACCATCGCCGCCAACGAAGACTACGAATCTAGATCTAATCCCAGCCGACCGACGTCTTCAATCCTAGGGTTATCTGGCATCAAAGTGACGGAGGAAGATGAGTCGTCGTCGAGAAGGCCGTTGAAGAGAATGTCATCCCCTGAGAAATGGGAGGCCAAGCAATTAATGGCCTCAGGGGTGTTGGATGTGACCGATTTCCCCGATTACGACGAAGAAGGGGGGGGGTTGTTGTACCAGGACGAGGGGGCGGAGGAGGATCTCGAGATTGAGCTCAACGAGGATGAACCCGCCTTTCTGAGGGGTCAGACCAGATACAGTATCGATGTCTCGCCGGTGAAGATCGTGAAGAATCCCGACGGCTCTCTGCAGAGAGCGGCGATGACTCAGTCTGCCCTAGCGAAGGAGAGAAGAGAGCTCAGGGAGCAGCAACAGCGCACCATGTTAGATAGCATTCCCAAGGATTTGAACAGGCCTTGGGAGGACCCAATGCCAGAGACAGGAGAGAGGCATCTGGCACAGGAGTTGAGGGGGGTGGGACTTAGCGCGTACGATCTGCCGGAGTGGAAGAAGGACGCCTTCGGTAAAGCACCTACCTTTGGTCAACGGTCAAAGCTGTCGATCCAAGAGCAGAGACAGAGCCTGCCAATCTACAAGCTGAAGCGCGAGCTGGTCCACGCAGTAAACGACAACCAAGTGCTGGTGGTGATCGGAGAGACGGGATCGGGGAAGACGACGCAGATGACGCAGTATCTCGCGGAGTCGGGATACACGACCAGGGGGAAGATAGCATGCACGCAGCCGAGGAGAGTGGCGGCGATGTCCGTCGCCAAGCGAGTGGCAGAGGAGTTTGGATGTAGATTGGGAGAGGAGGTCGGTTATGCCATTCGATTCGAAGATTGCACAGGGCCAGAGACGGTAAGTTCAGTCGAGCAGTCGAGCCGTCGAGGATTCTCTGTCTGTTTCTTACTGTTTTCTTACTGTAGTTTTTTTCCAATCAGAAGTCGGTCGGGTACTGGGGGGGAAGGGGCGTGGGGAGTCATCGCGATGACTCGGAGAAGGGAAAAAAAAAAAAAAAGGATGGAATGGAATTGCACGTGAAGCGTGAAAAGAGTATCAGCTAATGCCATCTATTACGGAAATGAATCAAATCTTGCTACGAGAGCAATCCATGAATCAATGGATCCAAATCAATCAATCAAATCAATCAAATCAATCAATCAAATCAATCAATCAATCAATCAATCAATCAATCAAATCAATCACTCAAATAAATCATGACTACCTTCTTTCCCCGAACATTACGCGCATCGTCATCATGACTGTATTTGACTGAAAGTTAGCTTGTATACATTCATGATGAGGGTGCATTTTCTGCGGAGGACGTCGGTAGCGGGACTGATTGGCAGTAGAAGAAGAGGTTGAGGTCGAATACGCGCGGGGAGGGGAGGAGAGAGGAGAGGGGAGGAGTAAGAGAGAACTGGCAAGCATTGTTGGACCCGTGTGGTTGGCTGGCTGAGGTGGCTTTACCTTATCCTTTGCGGCGCCAAAAACGCCGTACTGGCGGGAGTTTGAGATTGATTGATTTGATTGAAGTGCTTGATTGATTGATTTGATTAAAGTGCGTGATTGATTGATTGATTGATTGATTGATTTGATTAAAGTGCTTGATTGATTGATTGATTGATTGATTGAGTGAGTGAGTGAGTGAGTGAGTGAGTGATCGATTTACTGAAGGACTGACAAGAATTGAGTTGTGTTTTGATTGTTTTCCTTTCTTCTGCATACTGCTTTTATTTTCTTGTGTTTTATTTTCCCCCTTCCTTCCCTCCCCCTCCCCCTCCCCTTGTCCCCCTCCCCCTCCTCTTGTCACCCTCTCTTTCTTCAGCTTCCCTTTTTTTCTCTTGTTCTTGTTTTTGGGTTCTCTCGGCCTCTATTTTTATTTTTCCTCTGCTGTTTTTTCCAGGTGATCAATCAATCAATCAATCAATCAAATCAAATCAAATCAAATCAAATCAAATCAATCACTCAATGTCCTGAAGTGGATGTCGATCAGTGATTAACCAACGTGTATAAATGAATCCGACGGCCTCTATTTTTTTCCCCTCCTCTGCTGTTTTTTTTTTCCAGGTGATCAAGTACATGACCGACGGCATGTTGTTGAGGGAGATTTTGGTCGATGAGGATCTCTCTTCTTATTCCGTGATTATGTTGGACGAGGCTCACGAGCGCACCATCCACACCGACGTCCTGTTCGGTCTTCTCAAAGGGGTAATCAGGAGAAGAGCGGAGCTGAAGCTCATCGTCACGTCGGCTACCTTAGACGCGGAGAAGTTTTCTGGATACTTCTTCAACTGTCCCATCTTCACGATCCCTGGGCGCACGTTTCCGGTCGAAATCCTCTACACTAAACAGCCCGAGTCCGACTACTTAGACGCGGCACTAATTACAGTCATGCAGATTCATCTGACGGAGCCAGAGGGAGACGTACTGCTTTTCCTAACGGGCCAAGAAGAGATCGACACGGCTTGCCAGATCTTGTACGAGCGAATGAAGGGCTTGGGACCCAACGTGCCCGAACTTATCATTCTCCCAGTCTACTCTGCTCTGCCCAGCGAGATGCAGACTCGCATATTTGAGCCCGCGCCGATGGGAACGCGCAAAGTAGTGGTGGCCACGAACATCGCCGAAGCTTCGCTGACAATCGACGGAATCTTTTATGTGATCGACCCGGGATTCGCCAAGCAGAAGGTATTTAACCCGAAGCTAGGACTAGATTCGTTGGTGATCAGTCCGATTTCCCAAGCGTCGGCGAGACAGAGAGCGGGCCGAGCAGGTCGAACTGGGCCCGGCAAATGCTACAGGCTGTACACGGAGAGCGCCTTCAGGAACGAGATGCTCCCCACAAGCGTGCCAGAAATCCAAAGAACCAATCTTGGCATGACTACGCTGATGCTCAAGGCCATGGGCATCAACGATCTGCTGTCCTTCGATTTCATGGACCCCCCCCCCCCCCAGGCTTTGATCTCTGCCATGGAACAGCTTTATAACCTTGGTGCCCTCGATGAAGAGGGGCTACTTACCAAATTGGGTCGCAAGATGGCGGAATTCCCACTAGAACCCCCCCTTTCCAAGATGCTAATTGCCAGCGTGGATCTGGGATGCTCAGACGAGATCCTGACCATCATTGCCATGCTGAGTGCGCAGAACATCTTCTATCGCCCGAGAGAGAAACAAGCCCAGGCTGATCAGAAGCGCGCCAAGTTCTTTCAGCCTGAGGGGGACCACCTCACCCTGCTTGCTGTCTACGAGGCCTGGAAATCGAAAAACTTCAGCGCTCCGTGGTGCTTCGAGAATTTTGTCCAGTCCCGATCCCTACGCCGGGCTCAGGATGTACGCAAACAGCTGCTCACGATTATGGATAAGTATAAATTGGACGTCGTGAGCGCGGGAAAGAACTTCAACAGGATAAGGAAGGCGATCTGCAGTGGTTTCTTCTTCCACGCAGCTCGAAAAGACCCGCAAGAAGGATATCGAACCCTCGTCGAGAACCAGCCTGTCTACATCCACCCTTCCAGTGCTTTGTTCCAAAGACAACCAGATTGGGTGCTCTACCACGAGCTGGTCATGACGACCAAGGAGTACATGAGAGAGGTGTGTGCCATCGATCCCAAATGGTTGGTGGAACTGGCACCCAGGTTCTTCAAGGTGGCCGATCCGACGAAACTCAGCAAGAGGAAGAGGCAGGAGAGGCTAGAGCCGTTGTACGACAGATACCATGAACCCAATTCGTGGCGGCTAAGTAAAAGACGTGGCTGAGAGGGATGAACAGGAAAGGGGGGGGGGGGGGGGGGGGGGGGGGGGGGGGGGGGGGGGGGGCGAGGATGCACACCTGACGAACCGCAGCGAGAGGGGAAAGGGTAGAGGAGAGGATCGAGGGGTTGTGCGACAGGTACCTCAAGGCCAATTCATGGCTTCGTCGTTGGCTCACAGGAATGGACAGCAAAAAAGACGTGGCTGAGTGGAATGGAAAAGACAGGGAGAGAGGGATGTATCGGTAAAGGTCGTGGTGCAGGAGGAGGGGGAGGGGGAGGGGGAGGAGAGAAGGAGGCTGACAAAGAGGAGATAATTGGACGTGTGTCCTCGCGAGGTGGATGGAGGACAAGGAGGAGGATGGAGGATGGAGGATGGAGGATGGGGAGGAAGAGAGGACGGCGGCAGGAGCGCTGGCATGCACACATCCTGGGTTACTAAAAAAGGAGCACCGGGCAGACCGCATTTCATTCAGACGACAGGCTGATTTCAGTGGTGCTCCATGCCCCAGCTGCTGAACAGAGACGAGATACAGTCTACATCCATTCTTCAGAAGTCAGACTGATTTCAGAGGTGGTCCATGCCTCAGCTGCTGAACAGAGACGAGATACAGTCTACATCCATTTCCTTCCTCTTCTGCTTTCTGCTGGCGATCTGAGTTCCCTTCTCTGATCCGCCGGCCAGTGTCTTCCTGATGCAGTTTCCTCTCTGTGTCGATGTGCAGAGATGCTCGCTCACCCAAGGAGAGAGAGAGAGAGAGAGAGAGAGAGAGAGAGAGAGAGAGAGAGAGAGAGAGAGAGAGAGAGAGAGAGAGAGAGCAAATGAGACGGAGGGAGGGGGTTTCGAGATGGGTGGGAGGGAGGAGGTCCAGGAATCTCCTGAGCGTGGATTTCGGGCTTGATTTGATCTGTCTTGTTGCTTCAGTTTTCTTCAATCCTATGGTGTGCTACATTGGTGAGTGAAACAGGGTAACGAAGAGGTATGGAGGAGGCGGAGAAGAAGGAGGAGAAGGAGGAGGAGGAGGAGGAGGAGGAGGAGGAGGAGGAGGAGGTTGAAGAGGAAGGTGGAGACAGAGAGAGAGGAGGAGGAGGAGGAGGAGGAGGAGGAGGAGGAGGAGGAGGTGGTGGTGATGGGTGGCGTCTTCTGTAGCTTTGTGTATTTGGATTCTTTGACTCGAGCGGAATGGAGACGGATTGAGCAGCTGCTGCATTCCTGGCCAAGAACAGCGGAGTGAATAAGGATGTACCTGGACATAATTAGACTCAGGGTTCATTCAGTCTTCAATTCAACCTGTCTGGGAGTGTTGTTCAGTCCTGCGAAGACTCACTGAAGGTATTGTTGTAAGTTGGCGCTGCAGCTCCCTTGCATGAATGCTTTGTGTCTGTTCATGAATGTAGTCTCTACTTCGGTCAGATACGCTAGAACGTTCCGGACGGAATCTGGCTGTAATTTCGGGTCAGATGCGTACTGGGAAGTCTTTTCTCAAGTGTTAGTAGGTCTGCGCTTCGTCGTTGGCTCTGATGTTGGTGGTTGTATTTTAGCTCTGATGTTCCGGACGGAATCTGGCTGTGATTTCAAGTCAGATGCGTCCTGGGAAGTAATGGTGATTGAAATCTGCACTGCTTACGAGAGCTATCACTTTTTTTTTTTTTTTTTTTTTTTTTTTTTTTTACTGGGCAACTTTTAGATGAATTGTAGACGAATTTAAAATGAAATTTGAATGAAATTAAATACTTCTAGCACACTATGGTTTTTCGTTAGCTTGCCTTCCTCTGTCAGAATGCACCTGAACAGTGATAACGTCTGGGTACAGATCATGCACCTGACTGCAGGACTGTCAGTCGGTACGCAGTGTGGCAGGGCCCAGAGATGATGTTTCCAGGGAATGTTTGGTTTGTTTCACTCCTTTTTCTTCCTTTTTTTTCTTCTATTTCTGTTACTTCTTTATTATTATTATTTTTTTTGCTTTTTCTTTTTTTTTGTCATGGTGGCTGCTGCTCTGCAAGCAGAAGGCGGTGTTCTGCAATCTTTTGAACGATTGTCTGCCTCCTCATTGTCCATTTTTTCTTGCAATTTCCACGTGGCAGTCTGTCTGCACACACACACACACACACATGCTAACACAGTCGCACACAAACGCACAACCTCCTGATGAGTCGGTGAAAGTCCCACGAAACAGTCTGTTCGGCACAGTCATGCTCCTTTTTTGTGGAGTTATGTATAGGGAATATGACAACACACACACACACACACACACACACACACACAGAGAGAGA